CATGGAAGCACGAGAACCCGTTCAACCCGAGAACGCTTTCTCTCGACAAATCTCAAGCCACACCACTCACACTTCAAAATTCTGACATTAGAACACTATCAAGGATGATCGAACCTGGCCGATAATATTACCTCCTTCGAACTGGCAGTTTGACTACTAAGGAACAATGACGTACTTAAGAGCCGTCTATTCCTCACAGAATTAGAGAGTCGACCCTTCGATGGTTCAACAACCTATGATTAAGGGTGATCACATCTTTCACATACTTTAAAAGAATATTCATAGCTCAATGTTTCAATGCACAAAATCTTAAGAGAAACTCACAAGCACTCCTTCAACTACACCAAGGACACTCTTTCATGATTCGCTTTCAAAAGGAAATGCTGGAAGTTGGTAACTCAAAACTACAGTCACACCAGTTGACCTTGCACAAGGACTTAGGGAGGACTTATTCTGCTATACCTTAGACCTTCAAAGACCTAGGAAATTGGTTGTGCTTTTATAACTAGCTAATAATCACATATCTATAAAAGAGCATAATTTCTCATCCTTTAAGACATGAATGCCTGATTGGTACCCTTGAAGAGAAGCTCTCATGAAAAATGTTGGAGGTAAAGGCATAATCCTCATTGATCCATCAGGGCTCGTTTAGAGGAATCATGGTTTTCCTCGGAGGGCCAGGTCATAGATAAAGGAGATTACATGAAGATTGATCCCACAATCCCACATGATGGATGAATCAATGAAATGAAAGAAGGCCACAACCCTCGATTCACAAACTTTCATGGCCCACTTCACTAAGAGTTTTGATGGTGAAAGTAGTAGAGGCCATCCAGAATAAAGACCTCTTTAAAAAAGTGCCACTATAAAAATGGAGAGCTATCTTAGGGACCCCAAGAAATACTACACATACCACAAGGATCATGGACACAATACGAAAGAATGTCGACACCATCATAATCTTATTGAATAGTTGATCAAAGCTAAGAAATGATACAAACCAAATGCAATGACACACTGGCGAATCATGCAATTAAACATGCATATTAGTAGTAAATGAAATCGAGTTCAGTGTATCAATCCCACATTGAGCAAATTAAATTCCAAATAAAAAAAAGTTCTAGCCTACAAAATTAGAACCTACCTGGAATTTTTTTATTAATATTAATTTTATTAAAGTGTCCAGGCCTAATTTTAACAAAATAGATATCTTAATTTAAAGATTGGAGGCGTCTCTAACGAAAGAAAATCCATCCCCTGATTATGATCCTAAAAGCCTAGAGTTTATGAGCGAACTACAATTGATGATTATCAAGAGAAAAAAATTTTCCTTAGCCCCTTCTGGAGGCAATAGGAATGTTAGGGTCATAAACCAGTTTAGTTTCCTAAATCTGGTGAAATCCCCACAAAGCAAGTATCTCCACAAATGATAACACTAATATATAAGAAATGTTCCTATTTTCCTAGTTAGTGAACCTTATTATAATTGTTCTGCTATGAATTCTACTGAATTAAGAAGTTCATAATGTGTTTTAACACTTCAATTGGCTTGGTCAAAGGTAAATTGCAATTGTAAGGATTGAGTTTCACAATATAAAAAAAATTCCATCTCACAAACTCAAAAAATTTTATGCACCACACCAAGAAAGAAAATGATTTGTGTTCCTACTTATGCTTTGAAACAATGACAAGAACAAGTTTACTTATCGAAGTAATCAAAATAAGCATAAATAAAGAGTTCACAAAAAGATCAGGAATATAAAGCCAGAATTTTCACCCTTCACAATGATGTAAGCAATGCAATTGTGTTTCTCCTCTTCTATCATTACCTATTCCCTCAGCAATCTTCAATCTCTCCTTTTGTCCCTTACAAATTTGGTTGCACGTGCTCAAGAAAAAAAAAATCAAGAAAATAACTCCAAAGATGAAGATGAGAGAAAGCCCCATGTTAGTTTGTCTTCTCCTCTTATATCCCTAGCTCATCTACAGATCTTCCCTCAATCCATCAGCTCTCACCTGACCACCATATGAAGCCTCAGATTGCCACATAAAATGAAATGTCATAATTACCGTCAATGTTGGATTTTTGAAGTGTGGTGCTGAAACTTTGAACTCTTAGAATGAAGCAGGGTGCATACGCTGGAGGTGCCCAAGCAACCTCCTTTGCAGCACCTTAGTGCCTGAATTGAGAGGGGAGGGCACTTAGACTCCCCAATGCATGGCGCTTTAGTGTCAAACTCTCAGGAACAATGCTCAGGAAGGGCGCAAAAGTGCCCCTTGACCTGGCACAGGAGCACCAAGCGCTGCAGTGGAATTGAGAGGGTGGGTCTATACAGGCGTAGGAGCGCCCGTCACTCAGTTTGAGTGCGACCAATACTTCTTTAAAAAGATTTAGGATATGTTATTTCAACAACTTCTTCGAGAATACCATAGTAATCTACATTGTCATTTGATTTATTGTGTGCTTTAACACAAACCTTAAAATTATAGGTCTTGTTTTTCTCATTTGACTGGGATCTTGTATTAAAAATGAAGTCATTCACATCATAAATTTCATCAAATTTTCATGATACGCATGTGCTCCCAACCAAGATCTATTAAACTCTAATCTATTACTCCATTGTTTCAATCATGTGTCTATGACTTCATAAAAAATCATGTGTCATTTAATATATCTAATAATAAATATGTGAGATGAGTAATGAATTTGTTAATTCTAACTTACGTGTGTTATAAACTATTAGGATAAATTATTCTTTATCTAATAATAAATGTTGCCAAATTTTATCCTTCTCTTCTATAACCAATACGCATTATTTTTTGGGTATGATTACAAGACAAATTTGGATTCAACACTTATAGTTTTTATATTTTTTTTTGGGATAAATGAAGCCTTCTTACTCTACTCTCATAGTTGCTTTGAAAACTAAAAGGAGAAATTTCTTATAGAATACAAATCCAGAAAGAATTTTTTGGCTTCTCAAAGTAATGTTTGAATACGCCATTGATAATATAAGAGTTTTCAGGACTTTAAAGAGTATGTATATAAAGGAGTTTCTGAGAAATTAAAAGAAAATTATAAAATTGAGGTGACTTCTGAATAATGCAACACTCAAATAAACATTCGAAGATTTGTTAGTCTTTGACTGAGCCTAATCACATATTATTTTTTAAATGGGGCTCTCGTTATTCTTGATCTCATAAAATATCTTTAAAAAAATGATAAATTTATTAAATTGTACTTATACTTTAAAAAGATACGACATTTAAATTTCATAAATATAAATTTATATTTTTTTTAGATTCTTCAAGGTCATAATTAGGTCAAAATCTATAAAGCTATTTGAAATTTATCATTCACTTATTTTTGCATAAAAATCTTTTTTTTTTTACTTCTTTTAGCCATATTGTATGGTAGAAATGTATAATAATATAATATCTAAACATAATCAAGTCTAAGTCAAGTAAAAACTTCAAAAACCCAACACTCTTCATATGAATTTATTAAGGGTGATAAATATAATGTTAATAACCTAAGATCATATAAAATCAATCTCAAGTCAAATATATTATGACATTCACACTCAAGTCATTTTGTGTCGGTAAGTATTTAACGTGAGTCTTCTATCCACTTGATTTGACAAGTCAAGTCCATAAATATACGATCACAAGTTTAACTTGTATGTTCCCCAATAAATTTATGCCTTTAGAGACGTAAAACAAATGACAACTTTGATAGGCATGAATCCCTTTGTTAGTTATGATTGAGAGTTAAATTAGTTCCTTAAGATAAATATCCACCACAAGTCTATGTACAAGATTCTCTTAGACGAAGCAATCCATAGTGGTTGACAATGATCCTTCAGTCAGGTTGTGTCGACTACCTTTTCTGATTAAGTAAACAAGATTCCATGATAACCTAGGATGACAAAACTATGGGATCTTGGTCGGGTTCATCTTCCTTCCCCCCATAATAAGCTTTTAAGCTTTCAAAATTGAATTTCTATGGTTTAAATCCCAAATTTGTTGGTACTCTAATTGAATAAATAGCAACTCAATGCCTAACTTTAATCAAAAGTGTTATCTCATTTTTAGAAGAGGTATTTAACAATAAGGACTTATTTTAATGGGAAACCTTAAACCTCATATCAAATAATCCTAACAAAGTGAGTTTAAAATCTCTAAGCATTGCTTTATTTGCAATATAGTCTGCCTTCAAAAAATTTGACCAAAAACCTCATATAAAACTCATTAAATCTTTAAGGGATATTGGGGCACAAATTTTTGGAGTCCGTACAAAATAGAGGTAATTGATGTACGAAATGAGAATTATTTTTTTAAGAGAAATTTAAAATAATTAAGAATGAATAATTCTCTTTAGAGGTTTTTGAAATAGAAGTTATATATATATATATTGTGGATCC